TGACACCCCTGTATTTTGAAAACGAAGAAGTTTAGGGGATGTTTAAAAGATTTTTTCTTCCTAAAATAAGCTACGAAATTTCCTTAATTTTGTGTACTTTCAAGTTAAGCGACGTTGGTGTAAGCAGTCCTAAATGCGTATTTATTTGGATATGCAGATTGTATATATACCACTGGATTTGGAATATCATCATGAGGTCCTCTGCTTTTAGGCGGTAACTTTGGTAAAAGTGCATCAACATTTATATCGATTTTAGGATCTTTCTCTTTAATCTGCTTTACAGTTTCCTTACAAACTTTGATTACAGACTCGGCATTCATACGACGATCATCACTCCATAACGGACAACTAATAAAAAAAGAAAAGGTAAAGTAAAATAACGTCGACTCGCTTGCACAACGATGTCAAATTGCATATTATCAAAACTCACAGATTCGAGCGTTCTGCTCCTTGACCTTGAAAATGCTTATAATCAGTTACTGGTTTGTCGCAGATGTAACACATCTGAGCACCACATACACAAGTCATTTTGTTACAGCCTTCTTCCTTGAAAAACATTCGGCTGCAACGATAGCATTTTCGTACCAGAGCTTCAGTCATTTTTTCTTCCAAGAATTTACGTGCAGACTCTGTTTTTTTTTCGTTGCAGTTCAGAGGAATGTGACTAACTTCTTTGCATAATCTAATACCAAAACAATTTATTAGTAATGTGCAGTCACGTGTTCACTTCTAAATATCTTTTCCGAGTTCTGAACCATCAGTATTTCGAAATGCATATTATAATATGGAAAACAAAATGTTTCTACGCAAATTTATGTTAAAACAAAGACAATATTCCGTGAAATGAGTATTTGATACATTCTGAACTGTTCTGAAATTTACAATCTTCATCGACACTTAAATTCAGTCAGACACAGAATTTGATAACAGTGAAAAGCGATGATAACATTAAAATTATAGTAGGTAAATAACGTCAGGATTACAATTACCGACAAGATTCTTTCATACATTCCGAATTAAGGCATTTGAAAATCTTATCTTCCGGTGGCGGTACATATGCAAAATGACAAAATGGACATGACACTAAGCCTTCGACTCTAGCGGCTATTACCTCCGCCTCTTGCCGCTTGCAAAGCAGGATACGGTATTTAGTTGGCGGTAATACTCGCTCAAGTACAGACAAAGGAAATTCACATCCGCACTTTAACAAGCAATCCACACGTGTATTGCCATCTCCCAGTACCGCATCGGTACTCCGTACTATACACGAGTTGCAAAATATATGACCCTCC